TAAGCACAAAGCTGGGCTTGGGAGCCGAGATCTGTTTCCCCAAAGCTTGCGGCTGCCTAGCACTAAAGTCTTTGAGGCTCATCTATGGTTAGGGTTTAGGGTTTAGGGTTTAGGGGTTTAGGGTTTAGTGCGGACAGGATCACCTGCGAATGTTATGCCTAGGCTGAACTAATGCACATGTACGAATGTCCTCGGGATGATAAGCAATTTTCGAAAATTATGGCTGCCTTTTCAGGGTTCTTATGCTGAAGGCTGTGCTCATGGCGAGATGCAGAGACAGAACTCTTCCGCCCAAAATCTAAGCCAATTTGAAGGGATTATATAGAGAAATGCAAAGGAACATAAACCATAGTCTAATCTCCAAGTATCCTCCTTAAAAACCCCTATTGTAGTCGACTAGAGACATCCTTTTATAACCCACTTTAAGGAGTTTAGACTATAATTCACATGGGGACTACCGCATTGCTTGCTGTTTGGGGCTCAGGGCTTGTCCTGAGAAAGATCTCTGCAAAATTCACACGGTTTAGGGTTTGGGGTCTAGGGGTTAGGGGTTAGGGGTTTAGGGTTTAGGGTTTGGGGTCTAGGGTTTAGAGTTCAGGGCTGAGGATGGTCCTCAGTCACTTGCTTGCGCAACAAGTACCAATGCTTGCAAGCACTTGGCGATTTTAAAAGGATTGTCAGGGTTATCCAGGGATGATATGATGAATATACGGAGCGTATGAAGGCTGTATAGGGTTAAGAGGTAATACCGAAATAGTGGAGAAGAAAGTGGAAAAGAACGTGGACAATTGGTGGAAACTGGGATCATAAAGGAGTTTTGGGGGATCAGGGCTCCCGAAAATTAGGGATCCCTCTCACAGTGACAAGAATTGACCTATTGAGTGATGGAAACTATCCAGCGCCAATGATTGTAAGCACTTCAGTGGTGGTAGCTGCTCAAGCCAAGGCAATGTCCAGGAAACTAACGTGAAATCATTATAGTATGTGGAGTGTCTAACGAAGCACAACGCACACTGCTTCAGGGTCATGATGACCGCCTGCAGTCGCATGTCCAACCTAACTAGCCCTCACTGAACCACAGTTGATTCTCGGCTCTGTGCTGCACAGGCAGGTCAGGGTTTGGGGTTTAGGGTTTTGGGTCTAGGGATTAGGATTTGGGGTTTATAGCCTGGACAAGAACTCATGCAATCGCGAACGGGATCAGAAGCCAAGATGTCGCGAATCTGGAAAAGCCTCACCGCCCCACAAACCTCGGACTCAAGTACCTTCATGTTTCTTCTGCAATCAGAAGGGAGGCAGATGCCAATCTCTAAATAAGACTACAAGGGTCGGAAGCAGACACCCCAAACTAACCCATTATGCTCAAACAGCCCTCTTTTGCCCCATCCTGGAAAACGCCCTATGTCCCTACATGGCTTTGTGACATCCCTACCCCGAACTATAAAATCCTCAAACTCCTAAACCCTGAAGAAAGCAGTAGCTTCCACTTTCTTTTCCACTACTCCAAACCCTCAGCCAACAAGCCCTTTCCTGCCTGAGCGCCCGAGCTCCGCCGAGAAAGCCCTGGTTGCTCAGACTCCAACTCGGAGAGCCCCTGGCAGCACCAAATTCAGAGGTTCCCGGTGTGGGCCCCTAATATCCCCTAATGGGGGCCCTTGGACTCTATGGGGAGATCTAGAGGCTCTTAAAATGATTTCTTTCAACTCTGATGAGTGTCATGTTTGCTGCTGTTGCATTTTGCTGTTGCTGCTCCTAATCTCCTTACGGCTATGGCTTCGGAGGGTAGGAGGTTATAGGGATTCCACTGCAGGGGTCTAGGAGAATGCAGGGTCTTGATGTTTTTCTATAGCAGGTACGCAAGGGATTCCTGCCAATCGTGAATATGAATATCAGAATTATGTGTATGTATACATGCGCTACATGACCCCAACTTGTTGGAAGAATGACCTCGTGAGTGCTGGTCTAGGTATTCATTGTCAGCGGCATGACAATTGAAAACGTACATCCCAACTTGAGCGGACACGGTCTGAACTTGAAAACTAGGGAACACTGTAGACGGCACATTGCATACACTGTCTGGATCCCATAGGTTCTCCTAGAGCCCTAGAATACAAGCACCAGGGGTCCAGATCAGCGCCCAAGAAAGGCCTAGAGTTTCGCGACGCTGCCCCGAAATCATGTACTGGATCTCAGGGCATGGTTGGGCCTCTTGATGTATATATGGATCGAGGTGCGAAACAGTTACCAAGTGCTCCTCCTCAAGTACTGTACTATCCTGTTCTGATAGCAACATCCTACAGTTCATGGCAGTGGTGGTGGTGGTGGTGGTGGTGGTGGTGGTGGTGGTGGTGGTGGTGGTGGTGGTGGTGGTGGTGGTGGTGGTGGTGGTGGTGGTGGTGGGTAGTAGTAGTAGTA